CACTCATATCATGAATGCAGCTGAAGAAAACTGGGGCCTCTCGAAGTAAAATGGGCCAAGTCTGGGGATTTTTCGGGGTACCATCTTCACCGGGCGCCCTTTATCCAGCTGTGTGCCGCTCCCATCCCTCCATACCAAAACCTTGGCCTCTGCCCTGGCATAAGATGGAGCTTGTGGGATCTGAGACAAGCTCTTCTCGGGCTGAAGCGCTTTAGATGGGCCCTTTCCGGGCCTGAGATGCCCACTTTTTCGGTCTAAAACGTCTCATTTCATGAATAACAAGGGCCCTTGATTGAGTCTACGACGGGCCCTTTCTAGACCTGATAGGGCCTTTTCTGCGCTCACGATGGTCCCCAACCAGGCCTGAGACGAACCCTTCGGAGTTTGCAAGGGGCCTGTCCTGATCACAGACGAGCCCTTTTCAGACTATAATGGGCCTTTTCAGACCGTAAAAGGGCCTTTCCCGTGCTTGAAACGGTTATGGGGATTTCCCGCCTTGTAGTTAACCCTTTCTAGACTTGAAATGAGTTCTCTATACTTAACTGGAGGATACACAACAAACGAATCTCTTCCAAAAATCCGCCAGGAGCCCCATTCAGGCCACCTGGAATACGGAGGAAACGATAGTTTTGACCGTTACCTCATACCTGGGACAGTTTGCCCGCGCATACGCCGTCACTGGCTTTCTGAGCCTATGATGGGCCCACTCCAGTCCGAAAATCTGACCAGACCAGAAATCCCAGGCCCAAAAGCGAGACAGGCCTTTTCCGAGCCTAAGGTTCTCCGTTTCTCAACCTGTACTAGGTCCTATCTGGCTTGAGATGAGCCGTTTTGAATTTATGAAGGACGCTTTCCAGACTGGAGAGGGCCTTCTCTGAGCCCACGATGGGCCCTTTTCCCGACCTGAGACCGGTCCTTTTTGAGCTTACGATGAGCCCTTTCAAAACCAAAAAGGGGCCCCTACCTTGTCTGGAACTGACATGACTGTTTTCCCGACATGAAATGGGCCATTTCAGTCCTAAGACGGGCACCTTGGTGGACGTGCAAGGACCCCCTTCTGAGCTTAATGAACCCTTTCCGGACCAGACATAGGCCCTCTACGCTTGCTTTGGTACACAGTAAGCAAGCACTACCACATACCTGAGGGTCCCTTCCGGGCCACCGGAAATTATGCGTTGTGGCGAAAAGATCTGTTTTTGGCCTTTCCCCAACAGATGGGGGGGGGGGCAGTTTGCCCCCTTTTACCCCCTCTCCCGGATATGCCACCACTGAACACAAAAGTGCAACACCATCGCACATTTACGTCCACTGTAAACGATATCTAGTGCCACCATATATCGCTCAACTCCCCTAGACCATCTCTCCAAGTCTTCACCACTCCTATATGGGTCTACAGCAGTTAGCCATAATGTCATGTTGCACCTCTGCCCACGCCACCAAACGAGCCATAGGCTTCCACAAAAATAACCTCCCGAATCTGCTCTCCAGTGCGCCGGGTCACCTTGGCCTGGAGTTGACATTCACTGACGCCCCAGGGATCGCTCACCAGCGCTGTTCCACTGTTCACTGGCGCCCCAAAGCTCCGCTCACCATCACCCGGGCCGGCCGGTCTAGCACAGGATGGGTCAGCTTCTGCCTCCAGGCGCCGATCCGCCGAACAGAGCAGCTGACCACCGACCAAAACAGCTGTTTCCTGACGGGTTCGAACCCCGACAGAAGGCACGACCGGCTCCCCCGGCACGCCAAGTACGTGAACGAATCCGCAGGTCACGTTAGGCCCGCAGGCACTTCGCCGATGGCTCTACGTTGTCACCCTGTCCAGCTTCCGCCGTCCGCGGCTCCATGACCGCTGCCACATCTGCCGGGACTCGTGAGACCAAGTTCCACCGTCCGCCGTTCGCGGCTGCACGATCGCTGCCACATCTCCCGGGACTCGTGAAACCAAGTTCCACCGCCCGCAGTCCGCGGCTCCACTATCGCTGCCACATCTCCCGGGACTCCTGACTAAATTCGGTGACACAAAGCCCGTGCCGGTCCGAAGCTCGTCGCCAGGTTGTTCAGTCTTCACTTCCTCTGATAGCAGCTCTCGTTAGCAGGTGGCGCAACAGCTCACATGAAATGATGTATTGCTGTCCTCTCGCAGCGAGACCTGACACCCGGCTCCTCGCTAACACCCGGGTCACGGCTCGGGTCAATTCACACAGAGGACAGCACTAGTGAAGACCGAGTGGTACTTGCTATTACTTAAAGAAAAGAGCGTTCCGCAGGATTTTTTATTACGATCTCTAACACTGTCTTGTATTGCATATAAGTTGCATACTCAGCTTCGTGCTCGCATCGTGTTGTCCTAATAAGCATGTCTAATCTAGCACATTTGTTGCTAATGCCTGGTGTCAAATCGCGTGCTGACCCCCGCCTCGTGTTTTCTACGCGTTCAGCTGAACAGTCTGCGGGAAAACAACAGATCAAGGAAAAATATGCGGTCTTATTGTTGTTCCATGAGGCAGGACGCTTCGTAGTCAGGGCCATGTTAGACGTCAATAGTTCTACCTTGCATGGTTCATATATTGCATATAGCTTGGTGCGACTGCAAACTTTTCACGAGTTCAGTCGAATGTTGTTTTGTCATGGCGGGCTAATTGCGTCACAGATCATGCCTTACCGAATGACTTCTCGCGGGTAGCAGCGGAGGTGGACACACGAGCCACGTAGGCAAGAGGGCCTCGCGGGAAGCGACGGCGAAAGTCCTGCGCGGAACGTAGGCGTATGTCATAGCCACGCGTTGAAACGTCCTCGTCCTGACAGAAATTAGAAAGTTGGCTGATGGGCGATTTCTTCGCGACTGACAGATGAGGTGGGATGCATTCTCACAGGTCGCTAGCGGTCAATGAGAGTACCAGTAGCGCATGTAACCCCCGGAAAGAAATTTTGAGTGCGCCCTTTGCTGAACAAGCCGATTCGGGATTTTGTCAATGGAAACTGTGCAGGCATTGCGATGCATCTGAAATCTAGCGCCTCTCAAAAATGAATATTTGGGGATATTTGTGGAGTTCCTAGAATTGTGTATGTCTTTAAAATAACGGTTAAGAGGTTCAGAAGTAAGGCTTTGGTGCCCTTTCGTCATGAGATGTTGATGTTTCGAAGAGGCACCAAAGCCTCACAGAGGCCCGAAGGACGGAAAAGCATAGCCCCATCGACACCAATACCCCTCTGGATCCGCTCCCGGATGTTACACTTAACAAAGCGTAGCCAGGCACAGGGAGAATGTTGCTCAGCATAGCCAGTACGTAATCAGTGGCAGCTAGTGTTGAAAACGACAAAATTCGTAACGTCGGTAATGTATAGTCCTTTAGAGGCAACGGTACCATCAACCACAGTGATATACGAGATAAATTATTTGTTAGATATAACACATTTACAGAAAATGCTCCACATTTGAAAATATAGAAGCAAGCACCAGACATGATGAGATATGCCCACTCATTACTACTAGTATACTTTGTATACTACCCAGACAAGGCAATTTCTTTGCTAAGCAAATATGCTCCGATCAATATGGCATTGTTTGATTACTTCATCGCCGTGCACAACGTTGATTGAGAGCCGTTTGGCGGTCCGGTTATATCTGTAAATGTTACTTAGCCTAGTCAGACGTGAAAGACTAGACAATTTTTTTCTGACCTTCATCACCTCATGACTAATGGATGGCAGAATTTGAATGACGTTATATGATATCGTGGATGTCTGGATGACCTTAAAATGGTCTTCGCGAAATAGTCAACACACATTTGCTGGCGTTTAGGTTAGAAACCAAAAAGTTTAGGCCTTAAAAAGGGTATGGCTGTGAAGTGCACCCAATCGTCTCCAAGATGGCTGTTTCAGTTCAATGCCCCACACAAATGTGTAACACTCCCCTCAATAAAGATGAAGCGGGTAGTGATCAAAACGCCTATTTTGTGATCTTTATAGATGCGACAGTGTAAATATGGCCACATTTCTCGGAGAAAACCAGGAAAATGGAGATATAGATGAAGTGATGTTTAGGCAACATGCCTTTATTGAAACGAAAAGCAGAAATGATTCAAAAATTGCTTGACAATGATCCTGCTCGATTTTCCCTTTTTTTTTTAATAGCGAGGCACTGGTTTTACACGACACTAACTTTCAGGGGATTAACAAGGAGCCATTGCTACCCATTACTACCATACAGTGCATTATATGAACTTAAGAATTAGTATGCGAAATAGAAAAAATAGAATTGCTTGAACTTGTTAGCATATACACGTATTTCTCGCGTATTCGAATTTTTAGTAAGATGCACTGTGTGGCAGTAATGGCCTTGTTTAATTCCCTGAATATTGGTGTCCGGTACAAACTATGACCCACTGTTAAAAAGAAACGAAAAATCGAGTAGCATCATCGGCAAGCAATTTTGAATCAACCTCTGCTATTCATTTCGATGAAGGCACGTTGCCAAAATATCAACCAATTTATATCTCTATTCTGCTGGTTTTTCTCCGAGGAATTAGGCCATTATCGCTGCCTAATTAGTATGAATAATGTTCTTCGACAATGCCGCTAACAACTTACGTGATATTGTAATTATTTTCATATCACCGCTAATATTTGTCTTATTGATCAAATAAATTCCTTTAGGTATGTTCCAGTAAGGGAATAGTTGCTGGGTTGTGCTAATCAAACGCCTAAAAGTATGCTAGTTATTCAGTGCATTAGCGGGGAATATTATTCACATAGATAAGATAAGAAGGCAAAAACCAGGAGAATGGAGACAGAGTTGGGTTTTCCTGGTTTTTCTCCGAGGCATGAGGCTAATACTACTGTCTGGCCAATGAGTATGTTTTAATCTGCTGAGACATATCCCTGGCAGCACTTTAGCCATAAGCTATTCACCCCCAGTTATCCAACGGAAACAGCCAGCCAATCAGAGAGAAGTGAGGAACTGAAAACTCGCAAACGCGCATGCATCTCCCGCAGTATATAAATGACATGGTGTGCGGAGAATGGCTCCCGATAGATGTGGTGGAGGTGGGTTTCTAAGTACAAGTTGACTTTGATTATATGATAAACGAAGCTCGTATTTCACGTCTGTAAACACTTGTACTGCATGGATTCACCAACTGGGGCACATCGTTATGGTGTACAGTTTATCATGGGTTGTCCTTTTTAATCCGCGGGTGGGCAGCAAGCTGGCGTGGGGCGGCGTGACGAGCCATTCAGGTACCTGATGATCATGCTTTTTCTCTGCACCCGTGTACCTCAGACTCGAAAATCATTTGGATGAGGGGGGGGGGTTAACTGATCCCTGGATACTGATTCTAGGAACAACATCCTGTTGTGTTGCTGTGGGTGTATTAATGTTTCTGTTGAATTGCATGATGCCATCTGGAAGGGATGGAGACACAATGAACAGATATGCTGTAAATCATTCCAACCAGTTTGTTTCTGGGTCAGTAGCCAGCTGAAACATCTCCAGAGTTTGACTGGTGAGCTGACTGACCAGCTGATAGCTAGTTACTGGTGCCAGGTTCCAGAGTTAGTGTCACTTTTGTGTGTAAAATGGCAAGTGGATCCAAATATTCTTAAATTAAGTCAGTCAACTTAAATGCACTGTGTGATCTAAAAATCAGAGCCATATTTCAATTGTCTGACTAGTTTTCTGGTGTATGTCAAGCCATAGGAATTCTTTGGTTTTGTCACTCAGCTCATTAGCTGGAGGTTTGCCTCAAAGCATCTTACTACCTGTTAAATAAGTAAATCACAGAAAATTGTTTTGAAAAAACCATGTTGATCATCATGTCTTCTTGGGACAAACAATAAGTTACTTTATAAAGCATTGTAACATATATTGAGGTTTCTGTTTTTTACCAATCGGCTCCTTTTTCCGTGCTACGTCCAGGCTTCATATTCATGTATATGGATTTTCCTCTATACCTGCAGCTGGTTGCAGAGGGTTGCTAGCTTGTTAGTTAGCAGGTAGCTAGCTGGCTTGGAAGCCACCATTTTCAATATGTGATATCTATAAATTTATTGATTTGTGTACATTGTGTATGTGTGTTTGTCATTCTGGATAGGCCCTCTGCCACTGTCGGCTTGGGTTGAAGATATGGATATGTTATAGTTTGTTATAATGTTCCCATTTTTTCTCCATAATGTGATTTTAAAACAGGAATCCAGATACAGGGTCAGCAAATTAAGCATGAACCTTTTTTGGAGGAGGCAAGATTTGGACAGTTGGTGTTTATTCTGTTCAGCAAAACTATGCTGCATCACTTATATACAACACACTACCACTGATAGTCACAAAACAGTGTTATTGATAGTCATGTATGGTACCTTGAATTTGTAGTGAGCATACAGCCCTCAAAATGAAGTGATGTATCTCTGTGATGCTCACCACTATTATTGTTTTTATGAAAGAAATATGGAGAGTGAAAGTGCATTTGCTGATTTTTGGTTATTTATTGCTGATAATAGGCATGGATGTATGTGCATAGCATAAGTTGAGGTCATTGGCCAGAAGGACCATATCAGGCATGCCTATGCATCATTTCACAGCCTATTCAATTGTCTACTGCTGAATAATAGTAGCTCAAAACATTACAGACATGTACTTATTTGACAAATCCCATCAAAGAAGTCACTTACAGCTGTCCCACCATACTCCCAGAAGCCGATATCATCCCCAGGTTGATTGCTTACATGATTAATGAGGACAAGTTGAAATGTGGAGGAATTCCAAATTATATAACTACTATCAAATAATGTGCAGTGATATGTAGCTCATGATTCAGTTTGAGTTAAAGAGTGACAATTTGAGTTTTTGTATGCCTACAGGACTTCTCCAAGTTTTAACAAGGATAAGTTGGCTCCATTCAGAGCTGGCCATGACATGCTTTGGAGGGGCGGTGTTTAGACTGTCCTACCACCCACATGTTAACCCAGGTTGGCATCCCCATCAACTTGTGTTCATCCTTTACTTTGTGATGTGAGGGATCCCTGAACTGTTGCTGTAGCAGCATAAATCTGACTGTGTTGTCTCTGCCCCCAATAAGTTTGTCGGATGTTTCAGACATCATACAACAAAGTGAATGGCTGTTGTTTGCTTTTTCATTGAAACTAGACAGACTTAAGGAGATTTCCACCCACCTATCTGAAATGATCACTGAGCACAGCTCATCCTTTCCATGTTTCTTTAGCTGCCATTTTAGAGATTGTAGGAGATATTTTGCCATTTTTAGACATGGCATACCACAGACCTATTCACAGCTAAACAAAGCAAGTGGGCTTACAGAGAATCCCCATGTGTTCTTGTGTTCTTGCCTAAACTGTTTCCCTGCCTTCCAATCCATCCACCCGTGGTGCAGTGGGTTTGAGCCGCTTCAGGTCCTGGCTATTTGCTGTTGACTAGTATGGCGTGGGCGGCGACGGATGATGGCGCCCACGTTAAAGGTCAAGTGACATCAGAGGACAGGATGGATTGTGCCGAGCTCTGCGGTACGTTAAGCTTACGACGTAAAATTTTGCCATCGCCGCTTAGTTTCACGATCGGGCGGAAGGTCATGATGGCTGTCAAAACGAATGGTCAGGACTCACATGAGCACAGCTTAGCTTTCGTACTGATCCCAGAAATAGGCTCGTCTAAATGTTCATTACGGAAAGTCCGCTACGGCACATGCTACATTGGGCGATGCATGTGTTGGGTTCGACGGCGCGAGTTAAGCTGTGCACCAGGGCGGATATGTATGCCAGTACAATAAAACACTTTTGTCTCATTCCGCTTGTTTTTGTTCCGTGTCGTTTTGGCCTTGAGCTGTCGAATATCCGTTCGCATGTCTAAATATCCGTCAAATAGATATGTTATAAACATTGTGTATGATAGAATTGGCCCATCAACTGCTGTGCTCCATAGTGCTGTGCTCCATAGTGTGCTCCAACTGAACACCCAAACGGATGATTGCCAGTGCAGATCATGATTCATGTTGTTATCATCACATCTATCTGTGTCTATCGATCTATCTATAGCTATCATGGCATGCTGTTGTCTCAGGCTCTTCATTTTCATCCCTTGTGGCTATTAATCCGGCTGCCAATCGCCTTAACGTCTGAATAGTGCCGGAATAAATGCGCCTGAAAGTCCATCCGTGTAGGACGTTAGTGCAAAGTCGCGACTTCCATGTCCATGCGTATGCGGCGTTGTTTGGCAAATGCGAGGGGTATTTTGCACGGACAAAAGCGGGAAGCGGGCAGTGACGGACCTGGCGGGCGATTTCGACCAAAGTACTGCGAATGACTTGAATATTTTGCGTGGGTGATAGTCACCCGGAACTTGGTTTGACGTTCGTATCAATTTCACGACCCCAGCATGCGTGGGTTAGCTGCCAGCTTGCCGCATTCGGAATATTCCTCCAAAGCCGCGACATTCATTATTTCCCGATCGATTGCTGACGTCACTATGGGCCTGCCTATGTGGAGCTGACTCATATCTGTGAACGATACGTGCACCTGCCCACTGCAACTGGTCTCACGTCGTTAACTATTCTGGTCACAGATCTGACGGCAATCCTGAAAAAAATATTTCAGGATCGCTGAACCTTTTGTCTTTGCACGAAACGCGCGTGAGCGGCGGACGCATCGTTTCGCACTCGTGTCTTTGCGGTTGCCTGTCCTTTTCCGAGTTGAAATGTGACGGTTGCGTTTCGCTATAACTCACCCTCCCCTCCTCGTTACCGGGATATGAACCCGGTTTCGAACTTGTTCCAGTTCTTGTTGCGAATTTCGCGTTTCCCACCTTAAAACAGTGGAGAATGTGCGCTTGTACTGACGGAGCGCCGCTGGTTGGATCCGGTCCCAAATGTGGCACGTTGATGCGACCCTTCTGGCCTAGCCGCGCACCAAATGTCACGTGACCAACTGGCAACGGCAATAGGCCGTGACCGTATTCAGGCATAAGGAGTGGACGTGGCATGATCGTATAGTTTAGGTTGCGGAGAGTAATAGAATTGTGCATTATTTAATCGTCTTGTGGTATTTGAAGCAAATTTCTGTTTTCTGTGGCGTGTGTATATGTTTTCGTTAGGGGGAGCGTAGTAGTTCGGCACACAACTGACCAGATTCATACCACCGAATAGTCAGAGGTTATTGACACGCTGAATAGCACCGGGGTCTTGTCAACGTAGTTACTTAATTTGCGGTATACATAAAAGGGTTCACAAAAAACTGGGTTCACGGCGAAAAAACAACGATCAAAACGGTAACCGCTTTCCATGGTACTGCACAAATGAAAGCATTTTTAGCACCAAACAATAGTATTGGCGCTACCAAGTATTCGTTGTGCTTCAGATAAGGATTCGTCCAAATCATGCTGTCAAATTCAGTCTTGCAGTTCGAGATCAAAGTTGTTCAAAGCCGAGAAGAAAGCTGTTTTTTGTGTATTTTGAGAATCGGTTTGGGATTTCTTTTCTTTTGACCCCGCCCGACAGATATTTTGCAAAAATACATTCCTGGTGTGAAAGTGAAGCAAGCCACGAGTAAAGCATGATGTTTCTTGTCCGGATGGTCCCTGCTTTCGCGCATCCCGTGCGCATGGCCCCTCTGACAGATTGGGTTAGTGCCGGACACTTCGTACACTTTAAGGTGGATGTTTGCTTTTTCATTGCAAAAGATATACCGTGCATTTTTAAGTCTGCAGTAGTGTGCGGTTCGCACTGGCCACATGGCACCGGGCCCCATATTTTATGGCTTGTGTTCTGCGTTCAGAGGCGAGCTCATTTTTCGTCCATTTCTGGCATTCCGCGATCTCCTGATGAACGCCGCTTCGGTCGTGCCCTGACCTATGTTCGGTTTGCTCGCAGGTCGGTCAGGTGATGACGCCTGGCCAGAGCGCTGGATCCAGCATCAGATCTATCTACGGGATAGAATCAGCGGAGGCTGACGATGACCACCAGGTGGGTTCAGGCGCTGCTCTTCGTAAGATTTCTTCCCGGCACCCTCCGAGTTTCACGCTAACTAGTGGCAGCACACGATGTATCCTGATACGTTATTTGGGGTCAAGCTTATGATTACTGGCCACGATCGCTAAGCAGCCGGTGATAAAACGTTAAATGTGCTGGGAATAACTTTTTCTCAGTCAAAAGATGTCGCTACAGAAGGACGACTGGCGCACACAGATCATAACTCGGCCGGCCTTCGCGCTTGGGCCCAGTGCTCCCCCCCCCCCTTGACGGCCGTACGGGGTGGCCGAACTTGCAGGCATAAGCTACACGGGTTTAAGGGAGCCTCGTCACCGAGTGCCTGTTAGTCTATGGGTTAAACAGCGGAAACTAGCTCTCGTCTGCGGTGACAACTGACCAAAAAAAACAAAACGAAAAAACATCTCCTTTTCGTAACGTGTTAAACCCTCTTGTGCCAGCTAGAACCTCTCTCCCTTCTTACGCAATAGCTGTTTCGACACTCACCTTGAGGCAACTTTGGACGTCTTGCGGTGATCATGAGATTATGGTGGCCCGTCCCGCTGGTCATACCGAAGCCCTGACCTACCTGGCCGGTCATCACGCCACGATATTCCATTATCACAGCCTCCACTTGAGTCGCTTGAGTGGAGTCGGCCCGCGGGTCTTCCCTCTGTCAACATCACATGCCTTTTCTGCAGTGTCATGCATCTGATGGCCGAACGCTGTTGTGCTCTAGTGGCACTCGCCGCTTGCAAACCAGCGTCAAAATGATTGCAAAATTCCAGGTGGCATGTAAAAATACATCGGAAATGGCTCGTACCTCTCAAACCAGAGAAGATGCAGCGCGGAATTATTTTGTGTGCGAAGGAAATAGATAGAATTTTAACACAACTTTAGCTTGGAAAAAACGGGAACTAGATACCACGTCAAGCGGTTTATTCACAACAGCAGAACGGACCTTATTTTTGGAATTTACCTTGTACATCATGCATCTACGTTCACAAGACATCATGAGACATGCCAAACATATATTGAGCAGACATCCTCCGCAACAAGAGCAGCGGTCCGGCTGTGTGGCACGACCAGCAGTCTGGCAAAAACCTGACGTTATAAAGAGCCAAAATGTTTGTTGGCAAACGCGTTCAATCATTAACACAGCTGGGATGTAAAATTCGTGGCGTCGCCGCAGCACTGGCGTTTCAAATTTCAAAGGTACGCATAGACGTTCCATAGATAGACGTTAAATACATGAATGTTCACGTCGACGTTTCATAGATAAATGCAAATACATGACATGTATCATGAGTCAATGCATGCACGACATTCCCGGGAAGTCCGTCCAAATTTCAGAAAAAGAAGTCACTCCTTCTCGTGAGCACGAAAGCCTGGCAGCGAGGACCCTGCGAAAGGTGCTGGTCGCTACATTTGTCGTTTCTTGACTGGATAGATAAGGGCGAGGGCCGGGCTTGCCAGACTACGCACCTGGAAACGCAAGGACCACATTTATTTGAACGAAAAGCTTGAGTCCTGTGGTAGTTTTGGAAATACTTCTGCTGCGCGCTCTATACGCGCCCGGGTGGCTGGTTGGATACCCTTCGCTCGGGTGGGGGTTAATTTGCCCTTCCCCCTGAGATCTCAGGAACTGAATGAGCTAGAAGTATCAAAAGCACAGGGTGTCATAGCCTGTACGTGAACTCCCTTAGGCCAAAGTGTGAGCTTCCTAGGTCATGACATTCGGGTCAGATAAGATCAAACAAGGTCAAACTCTCCAGTTTTTCCATATTGGTCTCCAGAGTGCCCCCAGAACCTAGGTAACTGTTTTAAGCAGAAGCTCACGCGTTTATTTAAAACCAGTAACCCTTTTTGGACCTTTTGAAGGTCATAGTGACCAAATCATACAAAACCCCCTCGAGTTTTGCATTTGAATAAGCGACAAAGATTACACTAGATAGAATGCTCCTAAAAACAGAATGTTAATCTGGATCATTTTAGGTCATTGACCTATCCGGACCTTTAAGAAACCCATGAAAGTTTTATAATGCGGTTCCTGTCATCAGTAAATTCGAAATGAAGGCCAGAAAATACCTTCATTCTGCAGTCGTATAGCAATAACACAGGTTTTTCTTTCACGTTGGTTTGATCTTCATACCTGACCCTAGGTCAATATTTGTTCACTCAATTGTTGTGTTGTCTAAGACAGTAAGACCGTATCTCAGAGATGTATGGTTTCGTCCAACACTCCGTTGTTGCATCAGATTGAATGATACCTTAGAAATTTACTTCGCTGAATGCGTGGTTTGGCTTTGACCCGCCATAGGTTAGCGACCTTGCAAGGCACATCTAAATTGTTGGTACCAAACGATCTGCTATTCAGTTCTGTCCGTCCCAGTGGTTCAGTTGGTTAGAGCGCCTGCCTTCCGATCCACCCACCCGTGGCAGGCCGGGTTCGAGTCGCTTTAGGGCGTTCGCTATTTGCCCTTGACAGGTCTGGCCTGCGGCCGGTGATAGCGATCGTGCTAAAGGTCATTTGACTTCAGAGGGCAGGACGGACCGTGCCGAGCACTGCGGCACGTTAAGCCTTCGCCGCTAAATTCTGTTGTTGCCTGGAATTGCGCGATCGGATGGAGCAGCAGAAGCAGCCTCTTTGTCGAGACCCCGCCGCCGCCGCCACCGCCACCTGGAGCCACCTGCCCCCCGAGGGTGTCTTTTGCCCCCCGTAACGTGGTTTTTGCGTGTATTGACTCCGTGGCTAAAACGGGATGCTCTGTTGTATGTGCTGCTGGTGGCCGAACAGCCGCTGTAGATGCAAATGGAGTCAGATTGTTGTCTTGAAAGAACAGTCGCGACCAACATACAGATTTGAGCTCACTTATCCCTCCTCCCGTTGTCAAAAAGCCTCTGTCGTCCTTGACCCGCCGTACACAGCCTTCGCCTCACTAGTATTGCTGGTGACGGCTCTGATGTGTTGCTGACTGCGCATCTGACGGCGGCGGCACGCTGTCTTGTCAGACTGGACCGGCTGTTCGTGCTGCTGGAGAGCGGCTCGTCGGCCCTCACGCGCAAGGCGGCTGCCCAGCAGCTGGGCGACGTCCAGAGGATGCACCCCCATGAGCTGTACAATCTGCTGGACAGGGTCAGTAGCAGATTCGCCCCCGCGTGCCGACTCGCGGCAAGCCCTGTGCTGCTGGCGTTGTCTGCCGTGGGGTCCACTCAGTGACGATATGCGCTAAATCCCATGAAAACTGGGTGCGGCGTTCATTTCCTGCTTTTGCTGAATCCACAGACCGGGGCCTTGTTCAGTGGCACTACCATGGTCTTGTCACATATATATGCATGTATATAGATAGTCCAAGTGGCGGTGTTGTATCGTTTTCTTGAGCTCCGCTTTCGTGCACGGCACGGCACGGCGTGCACGGCTGGGGCGGCTTGGTGCGTTACCGTAGCAACACTTGTAATTTGCGTTAAGTGCGCCTTTGCGTGCAGTACCGTAGGCCACTGACGTGTGTTTCCGAGAGTATGCAGTGTACCGCACCGCTGCCAATTGGAGGTATCGGTATGTGTATCACTGGGTGATGGGTGGTGGGTGTGGGTGTGAGCGTGGATGGTTCTGAGTTTGGGTGGATGTGGGTGTGGATGGTGTTTGTGTGTGTGTGTGGGTTGTGAGGGTGGGTGTGAATGGGTGTGGGTGCGGGCGTGGGTAGGTATGGGTGGGTATGTGTGGATGCGTGGGTGCTCGTTAGTATAGTGCTGGCGTGTGTGTTACCGTGACTGCACTGTTGTTTGGTGCGTCTGCGAGCTCTCCGCTATCGCGTGTCTTGTGTCGCGGTGACTGCGTTGCGCCACCGAGCGTTCGCTGGCGCGCCGCCGGGTCGGGAGGCCGCTGACAGACACGGGCGGGGCTGCGACGCCAGGTGCATCAGTACCTGCAGAGCAGCTCGTGGGACTGCCGGATCGCCGCCGGCCAGGCGGTCGAGGCCATCGTCAGCAGCGTGCCGCAGTGGCGGCCCGAGCCCGTAGCCGGCTGCGCAGGTGAGGCAGCGCCGTGCCACACCGGCACCGGTCACGGCTTCGCATGACACCCTTACCTCCGCCACTTACGCCTCGCCGGCACCGGTCACGGCTTCACATGACACCCTTACCTCTGCCGCTTACGCCACACCGGCGCCGGTCACGGCTTCACATGACACCCTTACCTCTGCCGCTTACGCCACATCGGCATCGGTCGCGGCTTCACATGACGCCCTTACCTCTGCCACGTACGGGAAAAGGGTCCGCAGAGGCTGTGTGGTCTTGAGCGAAGGATTTCTGCAGGTACGCCGCAGGTCGGCCCAACTCAAGAAATACTTGTATCCTGCCCAGACGCCCTAACGACTTTGTTGTCGCTGTGCGCTGCGGTGTTTATCGTCATGCTAACACTAGCGGACGGAGAAGGCTGCCCTTACTTAGGACCCTAAGGCTCAATTATTGTCAAACTGGGTCCATGATGAAGTATCTCGACGTGACCCGGATAGATGGTTTGATGACGCCTGGTTTGACGTCACAGCAAGCCTCGCTCCCATCGGACGTGTGTCCTGGCGTGAGCTGACTCACGTAGTTCATGGCCGCCCCGTTTCGGCGGTGCGCAAACCTTTACTCGGACCCAACCGTGGCCTCCGTGCCGGTCACGTGAAACAACTGCTTTGCAGTCAAGGGAAAGAACATTTTGTGTGGAGAAAATCATGTTGGGCGTAAAGCTGAATATCAGTCGACGCGTAAAATGTCTTAATGTTGTGTGTTAAGTGCTAAGTAAAGTGCTAAGGTAAAGTGCTAAATGCTTAATCATAAAGGAATGGCACTTTATCGGACGGCGCCTGCAGTCCTCCGCATTATCTTCACGTCAACACGTGAGAAGAATACCTTCACGTGTACAATATGGCATTTCACTGAGAACGAAAGACCTTCAAATAATTTTTACTGAGGACAACCGAGGTAAGGAAGCTTAAATTTCTCCGCAGAAAGGCAGAAATTCAGTTTGATTTGATTTTTTTTTCTTTCGCCATCAAGTATATTTGGTAAGGTAGAAAAATACTCAGCAGTGGCACTGTTTTACGAACAACAAAGGCCACCACATGTCAAGTATACATTCAGCTTTGTCCAGCAAGCCTGTGTGCATTCCAGCTTGCATGGTGCTGCGTGCGTTGTCAGTCCAGTTGCTCTTCAGGCCCGGATGGATCGATGGCAGGCCCAGAACGGCGATGGCAAAGCAGATTGGCATATTGGCAGCTTTTGACTACCATGAGTTTCTCATTCACGCTCTGCGGTGTGTGTGATGAGTCACCTGATCGATGCGCGCCCCCCGGCTCGCCGTCACCATCACCTCCATGGCGTTCGGTTGTCGTGGGACACGTGCTGCGCATTGCATTGTTGTGTCGCAGTGCAGTGTCACAGTGCAGTGCATTGTTACTGCCACATCAGCGTGGCGTAATGGGCGCTCGTCCGTAATTTACGGCGTCACGGATGTTTGTCATGGCAGTGCAGCTTTACAAGAGTTGTGCTGGCAGTGCAGTGCTGCAGACGCCTGCCCTGGTGTCCACAGCATCGCGGAGGTCTCTGCCAACAATCTGCGGTAGGTACGGACCGCGGTGACACGTGCCCGGCTCGGGTTTCAGAGGCGGCCGCGTGCCCGGCGGAACGCGTGCCGCACGTGCAGCTCAGCCTGGACACGTTCCGCGTGGATGAGGTGCTGGAGACGGGCCCCATCCTCACCTCGCTGGAGGCCTGCGACATGGAGCAGGCCGACGGTTAGTGCACGCGGCTCAGCTGTACGCGGGGTGGCGTCACTGGAGCCGTCAGCTGTGTTTGTTGTCTATATCAGAATGTTGAAATGGTTGTGTTCGAACTTTTTGAAGACTTCGCTCGAGTCTTTTGATTGGATGGGTTTCTGAGGTCAGTGCCCGCGCTGAGCGGCGCTTGTCGCACGAACCCTGACCCCACCCTCCGGTCGTCCAATACTGGGTAAAAGGAAACGCTTTACCACGAGAACTTGACGTGCCGCATTGCTCGGAACGGGCCGTCGTTTCCGATGGCCCGTTCCGAGCGATGGCGTTTTCCGATGGCGTTGCCTGACCTTTCGTGCGGCCGTTGCCATTACCAGCTCCACCAGCATTGGATAACATATACGCCACGATTCATACGCGGTGGGGTTATGGTGACCCTGAAATGTCCATTGGTCACGACCTGCATGTTGGGATTCCACGTTGGGATGGCGCAAGGGAAACACTTGGATCACTAAAACGTATATACAGCGTAAACTGTGATATGCGTTGGCGTGTCTGGTTTCTCTTATGCTAAAGGGAGTGTTCTGCATTTACATGGGCTTTGAACTGAAATTGCCATCTTGAAGACCTTTCGGTGCTGTTCACGATCCAGCCCTTCAGGCCTAGACCCCTCTAGTTCCTGAGGTACAGGCCCGCGAAAATGGGAAAGATGTGTGGGAGAGAGTATTTCAAAGTTACCTTGGCGTTCATGACGTCATAAGAACGTCATTCAATCCTTGCTATTCCACAACCCATGCGGCGATCAAGCCAAACAAATAGAATTGTCGAGGTGTTCATATCTGGCATTCGTGAGCGCGATTTCCAGATATAACGGCCGTCAATTGGCTCAATTAATATTGTGCAAGGTACGATGACGCAATCAAACCATGACGCATCGAGGAGCATGTTTACTAAACAGAAAATTGTGCTATTTAGAGCAGTCTTTTCCACTGTTCGTTTCATGGTATATCATACTTGCTTCAATATCTTCAAATTGGAAACATTCCCCTGAAATTGCTGTCGCGGAATGGATGCACACAAAAACAACATGGCGTTGTTTGTAGAACGAAAATCGTCTATTTTCGGAACGTGATCACGCGCGAGCTGAGACACCGCCACTGTACCGCTTTGCTGAGCTGGTGCCAGTGCAGGCTGCCGGTACGTCGGCGCCGGCAGCTGGCACCCTCGTGGCGATGTCGGCTGTGGGGCCGAGCCGAGCCGAGCTGGCGGCTGACGGTGCGGCCGCCGCAGGACCGGACGTCTCCTCCCAGCGGCTGCTGCTCAACAAGCGACTGGGTCTGGACGTGGCCGAGAAGCTCGGCCTCGACACGTCCTCCATCTTCTCCAACGAGGACTTGGCGACCACGCCGCAGCAGGTGACCATCCCGCTGGATCACAGCGGGGGCAGCGGAGGATAAGCTCGGCGCCCGAAACGGCTCCCGCCCACACCGGGGCATGCTGGTGTGCTCGTGCGGCCGGCGCTCTTGTGCTTGCCGCAAACAGACGCGAGCATGCAAGCTTGTGGCTTCCTTTCGTGAACAGGAGTTCCATTAGTCTTAGCTCAGCGCACACGTGCGAAGCGTTCGGAAGGTCGGCTTCTTTAGTGATTCACGCTGCTCACATGCTGCGGCGTGGGCTGCAGGCGGCAGTAGCGTCTCCTGACGCGTTTGGTTTGGAACCCACTGCCCGGCCTGATAACGGCGTTGGCTGTGTAGGTACTGCAGGTGCGCAGTTTGTACAACAGTAACGAGCGCGGATGTTTGTCTCGTCCTGGCCGTGCCGTGATGGGGGCTCCTCTCAGAGACCGTCGGGGCCGCGACCCTCAGCGTGCAGCTGCTCTCGGAGCCGCGCCTAGCTCCGGGCTGATGCTCCACAAGTGTTTGCAGTGCATGCCGATGAAAAGAAAAATGGGTAGCGCATGTGCGTGCCGTAAGTTGTCGACCGTTGCGCTGCAGGTGGAGCTGTCCTCGTGCTCGTCCCGCAAGGCGAGCCGCCGCGGCCGGAGGGAGGGGCGGCGTCGGTGCAGCCCCAGTAGCGTCCCGTCGCCCGGTGAGCGGCTGGCCGCGCTCCCGAGGCCCTCACAGGCACACAGGCAGTCACTGGTCACTAGTCACAGTCACTGGTCACTGGTCACTAGTCACAGTCACTGGTCACTAGTCGCAGTCACTAGTCATAGTCACTGGTCACTAGTCACAGTCACTGGTCACTGGTGACGGTCACTAGTCACTGGTTACAGTCACAGTCGCGTTCACAGTCACTGATCACTAGTCACAGCGCTAGTCACAGTCACTAGCCACAGCTACAAGTCACTGGTCACTAGTCGCAGTCACTAGTCACAGGCACAGTCACTGGTCAGAATCTCTGGTCACAGTCACTAGTTACAGTCACTAGCCACAGTCACTAGCCATAGTCACTAGCTACAGTAACTGGTCACAGTCACTGGTCACAGACACTAGCCACAGACACTAGCTGCAGTTACTGGTCACAGTCACTAGTCACAGTCACAAGTCACTGGTCACAGTCACTGGTCACATTCACTGGTAGCAGTCGCTAGCCACAGTCACTGGTCACAGTCACTGGTCGCAGTCGCTAGCCACAGTCACTGGTCACAGTCACTGGTCACGGACACTAGTCACAGACACTAGACACAGTTACTGGTCACAGTTACTGGTCACAGTCACTAGTCACAGTCACTAGTCACTGGTCGCAGTCACTGGTCACAGTCACTAATCACAGTCACTAGTCACAGTCACTAGTCACTGGTCGCAGTCACTGGTCACAGTCACTAGTCACAGTCACAGTCACTGGTCACTGGTCGCTGTCACTGGTCACAGTCACGAGTCACTGGTCACAGTCACTAGTCACAGTCACTAGTCACGGTCACTGGTCGCAGTCACTGGTCACAGTCACTAGTCACAGTCACTAGTCACGGCCACTAGTCACGGTCACTAGGCTCCTGACATGGGCTCTCTCCAGCCGGCCGGGCGTTCGCAGCGCTGGGATGAGGCCCGGTCACGTCTCGGGTTGTGTGGTCCGAGCTCGGCGGCGGCACAATCGCCTGTTGGCGGACCACCAAACGACTGTCGAGCATGTGCTTGCGTGATGCGACCAACCAAAGCATGTAATTAGAGGTTTTGGGAAGCATTCCTGTCCTAAACTCTCGTAAGCTCATAGACCCGTGCAGCCCATCACATTATTTTTCGCCCGTTGACAGCATCGGTTGTGGTCAGTCGACACCGAAAGATGATGCAAATATGTCTTAATGTACAGGTCACGTAGGACTTCGGCTTATTTTTTTTGTGCATTTGATTTTGTTGTAGGGGATGTAAGGCCACCACAAATCACCATTTAAATTCGCCCCTCCCTCCTCCGCTTGGCGGGCGACTTCCCATAGTCAGAACGCGAGGCAAGGTTGCGTTGTTTCGACCACTTCCAAATAATTGTATATGACTGATGTTGCCTTCCATCTGCGTCCTGTGCTTGACTGGCCCCTGTGACCGTGACTCGGCCCGGGCGTGGTCCGTGCAGTCGTGCCGGTGACGCGTGGGTGTGGGCCGCGCAGGGTCCGGAGAGCCGGCCGCGAAGCTGGCCCGCAACGACTCGCCGGTGCCACCCAGGCGTCAGCTGTCCTCCTACATCAGCGTCGAGCGGTGGGACGAGGTGAGCGCGCGTCTCCAGACCCTCGCCCGTCAGCGGTGGAGGCCCGAGCGTGGTGTGACATGGCGCAGGGTCCTGACTGCCGTGTGTGGCTGGTTGTCTGGCGGCGGCCGGCTCGCCGGGCGTCTCCGGCGCGCTGGAGGCGAGCGCTGCCGGCGACAGCCGCGTGACGTCGTTCCCGGCCGCGGCCGTTTCAGAGTGACGAGTGGCCGCTGGAGTGCTGGTGTGATCTGCTCTGCGACGACCTGATGTCGCCGCAGTGGGAGGTGCGCCACGGCGCCGTCACCGCGCTGCGCGAGACGCTCAAGGTGCACGGCTCCGGTGCCGGCCGGCAGCCGGGCCTCTCACAACAGCAGGTATGTTTGGCAGAGCGCATCGCAAATGGTGTGGTGCAACTTGTTAAAGAGCATTTCTAGCGACGCGCGCGATGGACTCGAATATCAAGTGCATAGTGCTGCACCCGCAAACGCAAGCGCAATACAGCGGCGAACAAACCACGCATGATTTGTTAGTCGACGGTGGCGCAGGCACTGCATTGACTGTAGGGATATGTCATAGTGGGCTAGTATTACTGTACAGTAGCCAGAACAGCCAATCCTAGGGCGGTTTGTTCCTATTAGGTCCTTCCGCCGCGCGTTCCGATAAGGATGCGCTTCCCGACTCGCATTGTCACGCTGTACTGTGATAAACGCGCCCCCCACCGAAAAGGAACCGAATGAAAAATGATGTGACTGCGCAGAGTACGTACGGCCATGGCTGAAGTAATGTCTGAGTTTCGGCTGAGACGGCGTATGCCGGTACTCGGCTAGTGACATGCGAGCCTAGCGTGCATTGAGCAAGCCGTTCAGTGCATCCTCACGAGCGCTGCACTGAACGTAATGAGGATCTGCACTGGACTGACGCAATCCCGTGTAGATCCTCATTATCACATCGTGAGGCAGCGCTTGATCGGTGCCGAAGTGGACGATGCCGGCTCGGTGCCGTCATAAGCCGCCCGTTGAACGTGGCACCGGTCGCGTCTAAATGTCAGCTCCAGGGACGTGACAAACGGCACTACCCGTCAAACCGCACAGGACGCTTGCGATAATCCAGTGGAGAAGCGATTTCCATAGTGTGAGAACGCTCTGGAGGTTTCATTGTGTCATTGTATGTGCCAGACGACAGTGTGCGGAGTAGCCGCCTCTGAGATGATCTGCCGCGGCCACACAGGCAGACGGGCCGACCGCAACGGTTGAAATTAAAATGGAGATTAGATGGTACTGAAATGTTCTGACCTTACCACCGCAGCACCACAGGTGCAGTTAACGGCGGCTTTTGCTTAAGGTTTTAGCTTGTCACGCGCCAAATGCCGGTAGCTGTGGTTACACCCCAAACCACCCAATTACCATCACTCGGCTTGGCATGCAATGTGGGGGAGGGGGTGGGCGAAGTCGTCCCCTTCAATCTAGCTCCCGATTTTTCACCAGTAGTTAACCGGGTATTAATGATTAGGAACAACTAGTCTGAGAAAGAGAGGCTATCCTGTGCTGAGGCCCGGAGATCAGCTCTGAGATCCGTATGTCCTCTAAATAGTGCCAAAGGAACTGTGCGGTTGACTGGTATCTTATCGGGAAGGCATCCAGTTGGTTTTTTTCTGTAATAGCATAGCTTTGTTTAGTTCCAAATATTGACAAATAACACTGTGAGGAAAGCTCTCTGTGTGTCGGCCACTGACAGGGGCAGTGGGAACGCGGTGTTGTCGTTAACGTGCACAGGTAAACGAAAAATTTGTAAAAGGGTACTACTAATTGGAAATGGCAAATTCAAAAGTGTTGAAATACGATGAGCTGTTTGCTGTGGGCAACGGTCCTGCAGTGACGTTTTTGAAGGTTTGGAGGATGTTTTTATGGTTCGGTAGGCAAGACCACTGAATCTGTTCTTAATTCATATTTTCACCAGGGCAGCACTGCGCCGCTTCATTTAGAACTAACAAGTTCATCTGTACCGGCGAGACAACGGTGTTGTTCCTTGAGTAACGCACAGAACAACGGAAACCTTCCTTCTCCGTTTCGGTAGCGACAATAGTTTCGTAAAGCCCCCACCGTTGGCAGACCGTCAACTACCTCAAGCCGCCAACGAAAAGCAGCGTCCCAAGGCACACAAAGTTATCCTGAATGTGCCGGATACGCAGGGCAGGTGCCAATGGATTCCAGCGTCGGCTTTGCTGCTACGTTATCTTTCGACGCTTGGATGAAGTGGTGCTGCACCACCGCAGTTCTGTACCGCATGTGCGTGGTCTCAGCAGCATCATCGGCCGAATACGGCCAACGTAGTGCGTCAGATGTGGATGAGCCGCTGACACGGACATCCTGACTTGATGAACTGACACGGAGTCATCTCCGCCGCCGACGGCCGGCTGCTCACATCCCGAGAGCAAGCATTTTCGTTGGGTCTCAGTGGTGCTGCGCGCAGACGGCGGTACTACCTGGGTTGGAGACCGTACCCTCTGAACCAACAGTGCACGAAAGGCTTGCGCTTAGTCAGCTGTGGTCACGACGCGCGGATGTTTGTGGCCTCCGCCGGCAGATGGCCGAGCGGCAGCGCCTGCGCCTGGAGGACCTGGCGCTGCGCCTGGTGCGCCTGCTGGCGCTGGACCGGCTCGGGGACTACATCGGCGACCAGGTGGTGGCGCCAGTGCGCGAGACGGCGGCGCAGGCGCTGGGCGCGGTGCTGCGCCTCCTGCCGCTGTCGTCGGTCTGGCAGCTGGCGGGCGTGCTGCTGGCGCTGCTCGACCGCACGGAGTGGGAGGCCCGGCACGGCGGCCAGCTGGCGCTGCGCTACCTGCTGGCCGTGCGTGGCAGCCAGCTGCCGGCCGAACGGCTGCGCCGCCTCCTGCACGCCGTGCTGCAGGGTCAGTGTAGCCGGCCAGCTGAGGCAGCGGCTGGCGCCGGCGGGCCGCGGCGCTACCGGTTCAGTGCTAGGGACGGCAGGCAGCTCGGTCGCGCGCGGGTAGCCCCTGTGGAAGTGGCATGGTCGAGCCTGCTGGGAGGCGTCCACCAATGGCATGTGCTCTGTGGGGTTTCGAAGCCCTCCTGTTGCGTCGAGGGTAGAACGGCACCCTTTTTGTGGGAGGAGCGTTTCACATTATTTGTTTGCTTTTTTTGCTTAGATCTTCCCTGCGGCGAGTAAGCACACTCATACGTGCGCACCCTCACACGCGTACGCACGCCCACATACACTCGTGACATGCGCACTCGCGCACAGATCCGCATTCTCTCCCTTTGCGCACGGACTCTCACACTCACCCTTTTCACGCGCCCATAAGCAAACGCGCAAGTAGTACGCATGCATGCACGGACGCCCGCTCGCACGGAAGCACGCACGCAAGCGACACGCCTCGCGCCGCATGTGACTCGCAAAACACCACACGAGGATGCACGCGCACGCACACGTGCATTCGCACGCGCGCAAACACACGCACGCACACACACATACAACCACCCACCCACCGTGACCATCCTGCGTCAGCGCGGTGCGTGCAGCTGCCACAGCGAGTGCCGCGTGCCAACAGGACTGGACGACGCCTGTGACGACGTGTCGGCCGTGGCCGCCAACTGCCTGGTGTCGTCCTGTGACGAGCTGGTCGGCCTCTTCCCGGCCGCCACCGTGTCCGGCATAGTGGCCACGCTCTGGGACTCGTTGACCGAGCTGGACGACCTGATGACCTCGACGCCGGCCGTCATGGAGCTGCTGGCCACACTCAGCTGCCAGGACGTGGTGGCCGACAGGTGAGGTGGCCGACAGCTGGCTCCGCCGACAGCTAATTGTGCCCCTGGTCGGTCCCGGACACCACCGGCGGGCTCGATACAGCACAATGGTGACGTTCTGGGACCCGCTACGTCAGTTTTCGGAATTACTCAAACAAATCAAGTGATTTAGATAAAGCAGACGTCTTACCCAAACAAATCAAGTGATTTAGATAAAGCAAACGTCTTACAGAGGTTGAGCCCACCGAAAAAGTAATCCGGTATGTGTGTTGGGGGTCTCTCTCCTCTCTCCTCTCCTCTCTCCTGTCTCTCTCCTCTCTCCCCTCTTCTCTCTCCCCTCTTCTCTCTCCCCTCTTCTCTCCCCTCTCCTCTCTCTCGCCGTCTATGTCACTGCCCTGGTGTTTGATATGTTCAAAAACAATACTGAGCTGGGACATCGCAAATGTAAAACGGGCATATTCCAACCAGCGTGTGTTATCTATCTTTGTTTGAATTTCCGTTAATTTCGCTCTTTATTTGTTCTTAGCGCCGCTGAGCGAAAATGCCATTAGCAAGTTGGTCGAGATTGGCTTGGTGCGCTGATGCGGTTGATGACTGCGGACGTTTTCGTTGGCAGGACTTCGCTGCCGTCGCTGGTGCCTCGGCTGTGGCCGTTCCTGGGGCACACTTCGTCGAGCGTGCGGCGGTCGGCCGCCCTTACCCTCAGCCAGCTGGTCCACAGTCAGGTGCGGCCAGCCCGGACTGTACGGCACTGGCGATGCTCTATTGTTTTGGTGCCTTTTCGTGTCTGTGGGTGCTGGGAAGGGTTTTGTGTCGAAGGTTGTGCAGAAACCAGCTGGGAATGTGGCTTATGCTACGCGCCTTGCAATGCTGTTTGGCATGATTTAGGAGACGTGTCCGAAAATGTCGGCCAAAATTGATTGTCGTCACCTGAGTCTCATCCAAGCTTATCGCTGCGATTCCGCTGGTTCCGCCAGGTGAACTGATTCAGCCTGATCTTATCCTTGTATAGGGTATGACTGAGGGCGGTCCGTTCTGTACGCATCTCCAGACTGTGCTCTGCGCCGGCCTGAATGTGGCGTCCCTCGCGGCGGGTTGTGTGACGCCACCATCTGACCGCCAGGACCTGGAGACGTGGTCGGCGGAGGTGATTCAGATGGCGCTGCGCCTCACCTTCCAGCGCGCCTTGCTGGAGGACCAAGCTGCCATACTGGACCTGTTGGTCAAGGTCAGACACAAGCTGCGTTAACGTCTGGGCCGCGCCCCTGCAGCGAGACGGCACGATGGCACGGTCGAGAGATGCATCTGGTGGCGTGCGCGGGGTGCTGAGGACGTGCCGCGCGTACAGCAATGACGCTGCCCGCTCTGTTTGGAGGCGAGGCCGGCCTGGTCAGCCGCACGTCGCTCGCCACGCTGCTTACGGCCACGTGTCCGCAGTGACGCTGCCCGCTCTGTTTGCAGGCGTGGGCCGGCCTGGTCAGCCGCACGTCGCTCGCCACGCTGCTGACGGCCACGTGTCCGCACATCGCCTCCTGGCTGTGCATCCTGATGCAGCCCACCAAGATGGCCATCAGCCCCGGCCTGCTGCTGGCCGCCCCCCGCCTGGTCAGTGGCGCGCCTGCGCCGGCAGGCCGTGTCGCGCTCGCTGCTGCCTGTGCGCGGCGCAGACGACCCGCCAGGTGTCAGTGGCTACCGCGTGCTGTCACTGTTTGTAGTTCCTCGTGCGAACTCTGGGAGCTGAATAATACCAGGCACGCTGCCGATAATCTTCGTCAGTGCCTCATTACGGTGGCTTGTAGGCATGTGCTATTATGCCCGTCTGACTGGCCTTAACGAGAGCTGGACCGTGTGGTCCGGTGAGCTCAGTGCTCTGTGATCCGGTGAGCTCGGTGCTCTGTGTTCCGGTGAGCTCAGTGCTCTGTGGACGCTGCGGTCGGGCTGCTGCCCTCCTGTGCCCAGACGCCTGGCCTGGCATGCGCCCGTGTGTGGACACGTGAGCCGCGATGCCCCCGGTACGGGGGCGTCTGACCGGCGTCCTCTCCCTCTCACAGACCCGCCGGCCGTGCAGTCCGGGCGCTGTGGACCCGGCTGTGCCGAGCCAGTGTTACGTGGGCGGGCCGGCGGCGGCGACGGCCGGCGGTGCGGAGCGCGAGCGGGCCGCCATGCGCGCCCGCCTCACCGGCGCCGCCCTGCTCGGCTCACTCAGCCCCTACATCGTCCAGCCCATGCCCGGTAGGTGGCCAGCCCGGCGGCCGGGTGGTTGCCGGCGGCCGTCCCATGCCAACTCGTGGTCTCTGTCGATTGTCCGTAACAGCGCCGTGAAGACCGCTCTATGACAGGTTCGGAGGGGACCGGTCGTGTTCCTGCGAGGGCGAACGTCAGTGCAACAAATTGATGTCATAAAAAAGGAAATATGAAGTCTCCGCCGGATCAATGAAGCTCCGCTTTGGGCAGCTAGAGCTCGCCTTTCGTTCACTAGAGCTCGCCTTTGGCAGCAGTTCCGGTTGTTTCTGGAACTGCTGCCATTGCTCTGTGTTCGCTCTCTGGGCTCCAGCTCTGAGTGATAGAGACATTGCGCGGCCGCTTTGCAACTACGAATGCTTTTTACTTGTGATATATCACGACGCTTACATTGGCAAGTCAGCAACTCAAGACTCTGGGTAACATCTAATCGCATTGGCATGTCCGTGGCCTCTTTCTTGTTCCACTTGTATGTGAATGTGTGTAGGTCCGAATGGTTTAAAGTTCGTATTCTCTTGACCAGCCTGAGTACGCCGTGACCTCATTTGCGCTAAAGATGACATCGTTCTTTAGTGGTGAGGCCGACAGAGGCGTCACTGAAGATCGACTGCCTATTCATACAGGCATAACTGTACAACTTAAACTTGCATCACATACTCAGAAAATGTCATATGTGCTCCATGTTACACACGGAGTGCGCTTCTAAGCGCACGCACGGTCAAAAGCAACACCAACCGGACTGTCCAACGACTTTGCGTCGATACCAGTCCAAAATGGCGTTGCATGGCACGGCTAAGACGCCGCCATATACGCAGCCAATAGCCAGCCTATCCTGGTGGCTTAGAAAACCTCACAGTTAAGCTTGCGACGCCAGCTATAAAGTAATATCAGACTAAAGCGGAGAAAAGGGCTATGTTTCCTGAAGTATCCGCTGGGTGTGCTCCAACTGTCAGTGGTAGGACCGCAACCGCTGCGTGCTTGTTCCAAGTTATTTTTGTTGTTTTTAAACTTCTGCAACTTTGCAATTATTGATAAAAAACGAGCAAATGCTATCGACTTGTGGTCCGCCACTGAAATTTTTGTAAGGTTGATTAAGATGATGTGTTGTGACGTGTTGTGTTGTGATGTGATGTGTTGTGTGTAAGATGCTGTAGTGTTGAGTGCCCAATAGTTTGTTTTTGCCACAAATGAATTGTTGCCGATTGAACCAGCTGATATGCGGCGCTGTGCGGAGTGTATTACTCTGAGTGCATGTGAGCCCAGGTGAAGCGGCGGTCTGTCGCGGTGCAGCCGTGACTACATTGTGGCGTTTCTCTGGGTGTCGGGCCGGCCGGGACGCCGGTGCGGCATAGCTGGCCTGACCTGACCGTCCTGCCCGCAGGCGCCGTGTACCTGGTCGAGTCGCCCGTCAGCACGTATGTGGCGCTGCTCTCCACCCATCTGACCTCACTGTCTGCCATGCAGCGCGCGGTGGTCGGCCACGTGATCGCCGAGTGGGTCAAGGTGGGTGTCACCAGCCGTGCGTGGACCACCTGCTCGCTGTCGTGGCTGGACTGGAGAGTCCTGAGTCCTGCTCTTGCCGGCCTGACTTGGGCTGGAGTGGTTCTTAAGTCGCGGGTCGGTTACGGAGGGAATGAAAGCGCAGTGTACGAGCGCGTGCGTGTCTTCACATCAGACTGTTGTGCGGCACGGCGGACAAGTGTAAGTGTAAAAGTGTGATGTACAAGTGTAAAAGTCCCGTCCTCTACACTCACACGCGTCCATTCGTGACGCCTGTGGTCAAGGACCACGGGTTCTCGAAACCCTGGCGTTACGCCAAGTGCGGACGGTATGCTTGGATATTTTGAACCTAACGTGGCCTTAGGACATCGCACCCTTCCGTCGTCCTCCACGTTCTTATGTGACAGCTATCCCAATCCCAATTTTCCAGTTAGAGGGACAGCCGTTCCCCTGCCACCCCTTCCCGTTCCCTTGTTTAGTTCCCTTGTTTACAGCCCAGTGGCACACGAAGGCAACAACGGCCAGACATGCACCATGTCCCTGGGATAGTACGTATTCTGAGCGTTCCCCATGCGCAAGCGCCAGTTAGCCGGCGTAATTCTAAAGCAGTGCCGGCGTCGCCGCGGGCTGCCGCGGGCCGCCGCGGCAGGCCGTCTGACTGAGCGGCCGTCGCCGTCCGCGCAGGCGGCGCCCCGGTTCGAGTTTCCCGACTCGCTCGTGCAGCGTCTGCACGGCTGCCTGGCCGAGTCGGTCTGCTTCGACGAGACGGCCGTGGGATTTTCGCGGCTGCAGCAGGACTGCCGCGACTACCTGGCTCTGCTCAAACACTACAAGCTGGCCGTCGATGCCGGCTTCCAGGCAAGCGGGCGGTCTGAGCGGCATGGGACCCCCTGGCGGAAGCGGTGGGAGGGGCTGACTGGTGTTGGTGACTGGTGCGGCCGACGGGGTCCGGTGGCGGAGGGGAAGGGGGCTGGCGGGGTGGTGCGAGGCTCTCTGGACAGGATAGGCTACTGGGATTGGCTAACGCGCGCTCTTCTGTTTTTTCTGTTTTTGTTTTTTTGGGGGGAGCAAATGAGGAGGCGCTCGGGCTGAACAAGTTGCGTTTAGGTGAGGGGGGGGGACAGGAGAAGAGCCCAGGAGGGCTTCGGAGTGCGCGGGCTTTCCGCGGGTGGGGGGGGGGGGGGAGGGGAAAAAAGACGGGGCGCCGAAGCTGAGGTAGCGACATGACAGTCTTTTTTTAATTTCGCGTATTTGTCATGCCAAACGCACAGAGTCAGCATCACGAACTGGAGTCTGGTTCGTCTGCCATAGCTCAGCTTCACGAAATGACTGTAGAGCGTTGCCGCGGGGCTGCTAAGCTGGTTGTCGGCTGCCTTTTCCAGAGCGCGCGCGTGCTGAGTTTCGAGCAGATCCGCCAGTTGACCGGGCCGGTGTCGGCGGCGCTGCTCAACAGCAGCCGCCTGTCGGCCAAGGTGATGGAGAAGCTGCAGGAGCGGCGGCTGAGCCTGCAGCGCTCGGGCGCGCAAGTGTGCGACGACCACACCGGCTGGTCCACCAGGTCAGTGGCGGTGGACGGACGGGGCCGCCGGCCGGGCTGTCCGCTCACGCGGCACTCATTACGTGGGGAGTGGATGAATGTATGGCCTGGAGGTGAATATGTGGAAGGGAGGGGGCGAGATGTAAGGAAAACAGCTCGTTTTACCATGCTCTGTGTGGATCGGGTGTTTGGTGTGACGGGAGCAGAGGGGAAGACTGTTGGCTTAGATGGTCCCCTGGCCTGTTTTCGCCGATTCTCTGCATTTTGCCGTGTCGATTTCGGCTCGTGTGAACTTAGCCACATCTCCGACCGAGCCGCACATCTGAAGTCGTGCGTACGTGCGTGCTGTTCACCTTCTAATGGTGGTTGCGTGTGATTGCGGCAGGACCCAGCTGGCTCTGGCACGGGCTGTGATTCTGATGAACCGGCTCACCGACAAGCTGAACCCGGTAGTGCGGCCCGTCATGGAGAGCATCAAACGCGAGACTGACCCCCAGCTGCAGGTCCGTTCCGGCCGGCAGCGGGCCGGGGACCGCTACGTCACCTCACTCAGCATTTAATTTGCAAGCTCGCTCATCGAATTCATTCCTGGTATTCGACTGGCCTTCAGGTCGAACAAAGCGCGGAGATGAAAATGCGGCGTCGCACAGGTTTAGCCACATAAACCCGGAAATGATATTAAATATTGATTACACATTTTTAGTAAGGCAGCCACGGAGCTGTGAATTCCCTGACAATGCACAGTTCTGAGTGTATTGCTCGGAAAGGCACAGACTGTCCGTGTCCCAGTGACAGACGAATGGCTGGTTATATGACATTGCCGAAAATGGGACCAGCCACTGCGAGGTCGGCGTGTGCGGAGGTGGACAGGCGATGTTCGGCGGCAGCAGATTTATTCCGTTCCGTTCGCCGGCCGCGCGGTCCGCCAGCTGTGCGCCCTCGCGTGGCGCACTGTGCCGTTCCGCCGCCTGTGCGGCGATCCTGGAGGCCGCCCGTCTGCCACTGGCGAACGGCGTGTTTGACGCCCGTGTGACGTCATCAACAGGACCTTGCGGCCGACGGCGTGGTCCGCCTGCTGGAGCTGCACCGCCAGCGCCAGTCGGGGCCCGTCTCCAAGATCATCAGAAACCTCTGTGCCTTCAGCTGCTGTGATCCTCTGAGTACGCCCTGCGTTCAGGTTAGTCCGCCGCTGCTGCGGCCTGTTCGCGCCATCAGCTGGCTGGCAGCAGTGAAAAAGCTACTGCATCTGTGACTGGAGGCGGGCTCGGGCGGCTTCCTGTCTTCCCTGTGTACATCCGAATGGGTCATCGTGGGCCGGGTGTGTGGTGTGTGCTGGTGCGCTACCCGTCTCTAGCGCCTCTGATCCCATAGTTTTCTGTGATCGGCTGACCCGTGTGTGCTGTGTCGGCTGTCTGACCCATGTGTGCTGTGTCGGTTGCGATCGACTGACCCGTGTGTGCTGTGTCGGCTGTGATCGGCTGACCCATGTGTGCTGTGTCGGCTGTGTTCTGATGACCCATGTGTGCTGTGTCGGCTGTGATCGGCTGACCCATGTGTGCTGTGTCGGCTGTGTTCGACTGACCCGTGTGTGCCGTGTCGGGCGGCAGGAGCTGCGCTCGGACAGCAGGCCGGGCACACCGTGCTCCCCGGACTGCCAGCCGGCCGGCGCCGGCCCCGCCCCGGCTGACGCCCGTCCGCCTGCCGAGCTGCTGGGCATCGTCAGCCTGGAAAGGCTACAGCAGGTCAGTCGCGTCGTGACGCCCCCCCCCCCCTCCCCACCTCCTCCCGGCTGTCAGTCGGGCTCGCCCTGCCGGGCCGTCGGTCCGTTACGCAGCACTCTCGCTCTGCGTGCGTGTCCGTATATACGCTGTGGAGGAGTGTGCAGCTTTGTTGCCGCGTAGGTCAGTGTGGCGTCCCCTGCGTGGCACCGCAGCCTGTGTACGGTAGGCTGTGGGCTTGGAGTCGGCCACCGACCGTGCCCCGTTTTCCCTCCGTGTCGTGAGCATGCCCTGCGCGCATCAGACAAGTGTCCGGCGCTGTGATGTGGAGTGGAGTGTGCGGGCCGGGTGCGTCGGTGAGGTGCGCTGTGTGCTGCTGCAGAGTGAGGAGGACCGGTCGGGTCGGCGCGGCTCGGCGACCAGACCGCCCGGGCGCCCGAGCGATGTCAGCGCCGCCGCTCCAGCCGCTTCCTCGGCCGCCGCTCAAGAGAACAACGCCGCGTTAGAACTCCAGGCAAGAACATGTCCGGCCGCCGCTGAGGCCTTTGTGTCTAGCTGTTGCCCATTGGTTCTTTTGTATCTCATTTCCCACCCAAGTGGTGTCTTGTGACATTTTGTACGTGTTTGGGCTGAGTTTTAACTGTGCTGTTGCTATTTAGTTGGTCCCTTTTCGTATCAAAGCTCTGGGTGAGAGGGGGGTCTGGCAGGGTGTCTTGTGCTGACCTAACCCGCGCCGTGTCAGTCTCAGCGTGAGGTGCAGCGGCGGGGTGTCTCGTGCTGACCTAACCCGCGCCGTGTCAGTCTCAGCGTGAGGTGCAGCGGCGGGGTGTCTCGTGCTGACCTAACCCGCGCCGTGTCAGTCTCAGCGTGAGGTGCAGCGGCGGGGTGTCTCGTGCTGACCTAACCCGCGCCGTGTCAGTCTCAGCGTGAGGTGCAGCGGCGGGGTGTCTCGTGCTGACCTAACCCGCGCCGTGTCAGTCTCAGCGTGAGGTGCGGCGGCGGGGTGTCTCGTGCTGACGTGACCCGCGCCGTGTCAGGCTCAGCGTGAGGTGCGGCGGCGGGGTGTCTCGTACTGACGTGACTCGCGCCGTGTCAGGCTCAGCGTGAGGTGCGGCGGCGGGGTGTCTCGTGCTGACGTGACTCGCGCCGTGTCAGGCTCAGCGTGAGGCGTGGCGGCGGGGTGTCTCGTGCTGACCTGACCCGCGCCGTGTCAGTCTCAGCGTGAGGTGTGGCGGCGGGGTGTCTCGTGCTGACCTGACCCGCGCCGTGTCAGTCTCAGCGTGAGGTGCGGCGGCGGGGTGTCTCGTGCTGACGTGACTCGCGCCGTGTCAGTCTCAGCGTGGGGTGCGGCGGCGGGGTGTCTCGTGCTGACGTGACCCTTGCCGTGTCAGGCTTAGTGTGAGCTGCAGCGGCGAGGTGTCTCGTGCTGACGCGACCCTTGCTGTGTCAGGCTCAGCGTGAGGTGTCGCGGCAGGGTGTCTCATGCTGACTTGACCCGCGCCATGTCAGGCTCAGCGTGAGGTGCAGCGGCGGGGTGTCTCGTGCTGACTTGACCCGCGCCATGTCAGGCTCAGCGTGAGGTGCCGCGGCAGGGTGTCTCATGCTGACTTGACCCGCGCCATGTCAGGCTCAGCGTGAGGTGCAGCGGCGGGGTGCCTGCCGCGCGCTGACGGCGGTCTGCCAGCGCTTCGGCGCCGCGCTGCCGGACTGCCTTTTGGAGCTGTCGCTGGCGCAGCTGGACACCGTGCCGCCGCCCGATCACGCCGTTCAGCACCTCATCAACGGCCTCCAGGTCACTGAGGTCATCGTGCCGGCGTTGCATCCCGACATACACCATCTGGTATGGAAGCAGACTCCCGGGTACTGGTGTTTGAAGGCAAAGTCACGGCAGGTGATGCGAAAATATCGATTAGGCATAACCGTGTCCTCGATTTGATTGTTGGTGCTGTTGGCTAATTGAAAGATCTCAACAGCTAATTCTGCCAGAAGCACCGGGGCATGTGATTTAAGCACTTCAACATGGCCGAGGCCACATTTGTCATATTTGATATTTGATTTCGTTTGATTTTATTTTTTTGATTTCACTTGGTTTCATGTGGGATATTTGGTTCAGCCCTTGTTACTGCGCCTGTGATCACCACGAGCGGTGGCTGCGTTGTTGGTAGCGGAGATGACCAGTCAAGTAGGGTACCCTCTGACGGCGCGGCCCCTCTGCGGCAGGCGCTCTCCCGGCTGGACCGGCTGCGGGACTGCCTGTGCCACGGCCACAAGGCGGTGCGCCACATGGCCGCCCGCTGCCTGGCCGCCCTGGCCCGGCTCGACCTGCACTGCGCCGCCACTTACCTCGTGGAGCACGTGCTGCCGCTGCTCGGTCAGTCGGGGCGGCGCCGCCCGCCGGTCCAGCTGGCCCTAACGCTCCGCTGGGCTGCCGCATCTGTCCACAATCACTTCTGATCAGCTAGTTTAGCACTTTCGCCGGGCAAACGTAAATTTGTTTGTAACCTTGCTTGTGACCAAACCAGATTTTATCAGTCCGCTTTTGACCAGTTCTGTCAAAAGCTGACTGCCAAAATATATATGTTACACCTTCGTGAGAATAAGTGTTCTTGTAAAGTATCTACTCAATCATGTGCAATTACAGGACCTGTTTTTCGTTTCGAACCGACCGGTAGAGGATTCTTCATCCTACCATGGCACTCTTTGGAAAGTAAGCTGTGATAAAGCATCTGCAAAATTACTATGTTGTCCTGCTCCAAGTCCCATGTTTGACTCCCGTGCGCAGACCGGAAGGCGGCGGATGATGAAACTCCTGTGCGTTGTATTTGTTTGACGTGCGCGTGAGATCAGCTCAGTGTGTCTGGAACCATGCAATAGCGGGGACTGTGTGTGGCTCGCTATCAGGGGCTTTATGCCCGAACGGTTGACGCCTTCAATTCCCGCATGGGGACCGAACTCAGACCCCGGTATGGGGACCAGGCTCGACCCCGGCGTGGGGACCGGGCTCAGGCCCCTGCATGGGGGTCGGACTCAGACCCCGGTATGGGGACCGGGCTCATACCCCGGTCGCGTCTTGGCCCTTGGACGTTAAATAGCTTCTGCCGTCGCGAGCCCTCCATGAAGGGTGCGCGGCGACCGTGTGTCGCCTTCCTTTATTAAGATAGATGGCTTGCTATCGACACAGCGCGCTGTGCCGCGACCGGCCTAAGCTCTGGCCCGCGCGGTGTCGGGCCGGGCGCGTGCCGCGCTCGGCCGACGGTGGCGCTCATCTGACAACCTCCCGTGGTTCGGCCGCCAGCAGGCAGCGGCTCGAGCGTGGCCACGCGCCAGGGCGCCATAGAAGCAGTCAGCTGCCTAGTCGACTCGCTCTGGATGGACGCGCTACCCTATATCGTGCTTCTCGTCGTACCCGTGCTCGGTGAGGCGGCGCCGGGGGCTCTGTGAGGCGGGAGTGCGTAACGAATCCGTGCTCGGTGAGGCGGCGCCGGGAGCTCTGTGAGGCGGGAGTGCTTAACGAGTCCGTGCTCGGTGAGGCGGCGCCGAGAGCTCTGTGAGGCTGTGTGCGTAACTAGTGGGACGTGGTCACAGGCCACCCATGTCTGCCAAACTTCAACCCCCGTTGATCCGCTGGTGCTGGCGGGTTGCGTGTGTTGGGGTTCCTTTCCATTTTAGCATATTCGGTGAGAACGCTGCCCCGAGGACACTCGAGTTGTGAAGCTGTGCAGCTCCTCGACGCGGCCTGCGGTGGCGGTGGGCGGTAACTGCGGGCGCCGTGCCGCCAGGTCGAATGTCGGACCGGGACACGGCCGTGCGTCTGCTGGCGTCCCGCTCGTTCGCCGCCATCATCCAGCTGATGCCGCTGGAGCCGGGCTGCGGCGGCGCCGAGGCCGTGCCGCCGCACCTGGCCGAGCTGAAGCGCGCCGAGCGCCGCTTCCTCGACCAGCTGATGGACCCGGCCTGCATCGACCAGGTGGCCGTGCCGGCGTCAGTGCGCGCGCAGCTACGGCCGTACCAGCGGCGCGGTGTCAGCTGGCTCGCCTTCCTCAACACGTACCAGTTGCACGGCGTGCTGTGCGACGACATGGGTTTGGGCAAGTCGCTGCAGAGCCTCTGCATGTTGGCGGTGGATCAGGCCGCCCGACGCGAGCAGCTGCGGCGCGGCGGCGGCGGCGCTGAGGGTGCGCTGCTGCCCTCCCTCATCGTGTGCCCGCCCACGCTCACCGGCCACTGGATGTACGAGGTGGAGAAGTTCGTTGACCCGAGCGAGCTCAGCCCGCTGCACTACTTCGGCCTTCCGAACGAGCGGGTGCGCCTGCAGGCGCGGCTGCCGCAGCACAACCTGGTGATCGTCTCCTACGACATCGTCCGCAACGACCTGGACTTCTTCTCAGGCGTCAAGTGGAACTACTGCATTCTGGATGAGGGGCACATTATCAAGAACGGCAAGACCAAGGTGGCCCGCGCCATCAAACAGCTGGATGCCATGCACCGGCTGATCCTGACGGGCACGCCGCTGCAGAACTCTGTGCTGGAGCTGTGGTCGCTGTTCGACTTCCTGATGCCTGGCTTCCTGGGCACGGAGAAGCAGTTCACGTCGCGCTACAGCCGGCCGATCCTGCTGTCGCGCGACGCCAAGGCCAACTCGCGCGAGCAGGAGGCCGGAGCGCTGGCGATGGAGGCGCTGCACCGCCAGGTGCTGCCCTTCCTGCTGCGCCGCCTGAAGGAGGACGTGCTGGACGACCTGCCGCCCAAGATCACGCAAGACTATTACTGCGAGCTGTCTGACGTGCAGAAGCGGCTGTACGAGGCGTTCACGCGCTCGCAGGCGCAGCTCTCGCTGGTGGAGGGTCTGGAGAGCGCTGAAACAGGCCGCAGCGAGCGCGCGCCGGCGCACGTGTTCCAGGCGCTGCAGTACCTGCGCAAGGTGTGCAACCACCCGAAACTGGTGCTGAGCGAGCAGCACCCGAGCCACACGGACGTCAAGGAGTGGCTGCGCGCGCACGACTCGACGCTGGACCACATCCAGCACTCGGCCAAACTGGTGGCGCTGCGCCAGCTACTGCTGGACCTGGGCATCGGCGAGGAGGCGGGCGCGGCGCCGCTCGCCGTCGACGTGGTGCACCCGCACCGGGCGCTCATCTTCTGCCAGCTCAAGTCGATGCTGGATATTGTGGAGCGCGACCTGCTGCAGCGCCACCTGCCGGGCGTGACGTACCTGCGGCTGGACGGCGCTGTGCCGGCGGGCGAGCGCCAGGGCCTGGTGCACCGCTTCAACACGGACCCGAGCATCGACTGCCTGCTGCTGACCACGCAGGTGGGCGGGCTGGGCCTGAACCTGGTTGGCGCCGACACCGTCATCTTCGTCGAGCACGACTGGAACCCGATGAAGGACCTTCAGGCGATGGACCGCGCGCACCGCATCGGCCAGCGGCGCGTGGTCAACGTGTACCGGCTGATCACGCGCGGCACGCTCGAGCAGAAGATTATGGGCCTGCAGAAGTTCAAGCTCATGACGGCCAACACTGTCATCACCAGCGAGAACAGCAGCCTGCTCACCATGGGAACCGACCAGGTGCGTGCGCCGCGCTCCTGTGTCTTACTGTGTGGGCACCTGTGTGGCGTGCGGCGTCCTTGTGTGTATCCGGTGCGCATTGCCCCGCATATCCCCAGGGCGATAAACGCATGTCTCCTGCCCTTGTATGGTGCGAATATTGCCTCGCAGTGGGGGCATGTGTCTTGACGTTGACTTTGACGTGGGTTCGCAAACCTGCAGAAGGGTATGCGACATGAAGTTTTGAGTACCACATGGAACATCCACGCAGGCGCTTGGGTGTGCTAGACCAGCGCACTTCCACAAACACCCCCGCTCACGCGTTCCATTAATGTATAATGTAATATTTCGACTGTTCGAAATGTAGTGATCTTGAAAACCTTTCTGTTTGAAATAATATTTTTATGGTTGTCGTGGTCAAAAAGGTCTAGCGTGTCCAAAAGGGATTGGGCCTGCGTATATCAGCCTGTCGTTCTCCCATGAACCCTTCACACCTAGCCATGATTGGCTCAGTGTAGTATGCCGCAACTCCTGTGGAGTTGAACTTAAAAGAGTTATTCGAGAGTTATTCGAGTTATTAAAAGAGTTATTCGTGTAATGTGTGTGGCCTGGTTTGGAACGTTGCATGAAAACGTAACGTGATGACTATCCTCGTTAAGCTACTGAGAACGTTTACTCTTGTGCTTTATTTCATTGGAATTATGGGATCCTACAAGATAGTGGCACGTTTGGGAAGGCTGACGCACAGAAGAGTGGTGGCGTACCGGACGCCGGTAACCACGAGTACCACCCAAGTGGGGTGTTTGTGTTTAACGCGCTCATGTTTACTATCCGCACAATGGATTGCGGTGGACATGACGGAGAAATCCCAGATTTTCAGTCCCAGCTCTTCGGGGTTTATTTGGCAGATCTGGATGCTGCTAACCAGCAAGTTGCAGCCAACACTGAGCGTCTGGGTGTGCAGGGACGGGGCGTGTCTTGATCAAGTGGACTGGTATGGTGTACCCTGCTTCAGTCGGACCCTGACCCGTTCATCTTCCAACAGCTGTTCGACCTGTTCACGCTGGAGGCGCACCGCAAGGAGGGCGGCGCGGCCGACGGGTCGCGCGCTCCCGAGGCACGGGGCATCAAGGCCATGCTCGAGTCGCTGCCCGAACTGTGGGAAGGAGAGCAGTACGAGCAGGAGTACGACCTGACCAGTTTCATGAAGACCCTACGCTCGAATGCGACGCCCTGACGCGGCCCGTTCACACGGCTGGCTGCCCTGGTCCGGGACCACGCGCGCTGTCACTGCATGGGCCCGTTATTCGGTGGTATTCGGTGGAATTCGTGGCCGTGGTTACCTAATTGAGTCCCGAATGACCCTGGGTTCAAAAGGTCTCGAAACGCACATCCTTGCGTGCAGGGAGCTAAACTGCTGGCGTTACGTAAGCAGACCTACTCTGGACGACTTGGTCCGTTGCCGTTGCGCACTGTCCGCGTGATCCTCCCCCGAATGACGTCAGCCATAGTCCGGGACGCTGTGCGTCCGCCTCGAGGTCCAGTGGCGCGCGCCGGGAAGCCACTCGGTGCGCAGCCTGTCCCGCGCCGGCGCGCTGCTGTGCAGACTTTCAGGGAGCGTGCAGTGTGCCGTGTGATATTGTCGGTCGGACGCCTCCTAACCTAGGCAGCCTTTGGGGCTGTCCGCCCGCTGGGTTCTATGTTGCGACCGTCGGGGTCCAAACTAAGACGGTGCTGGGCTGGGTGGATGTCGTTGCGACTGAGGTCGTCCTGCTGCTGCTCTCTACGCACCCGATTGCGAGGTATGCGTTGACTTGGAGCGCGAATGCCCATGCGGATGGTCGAGAGGCGCTACGACACGTACTTTGGATGCATTGGTGCCTCGGAGTGTGATGTCGAGTGTGTAAACAAGTTAGGTTTTGACAAATACATGGCCTTGAAACGATCACGTTTCAGACGTTTTGGTCAGAGTTGGCCGTTTAGGCAAGAAGTGTGAACCTCACACAAACTGTTACGGGACTGACTAAACACGGTCATAGGCGTGCGAGCCCCCACCTGCATCCACGGCCCAGATACTGTTGGGCTAGCACCTCGCATAAACGCGTCAGCCCCTCTGGCCCGGAGGCAGGCAGCAGGGCGTGTGATCCTCAAACCAACCGTCAGGTCAGGCGTTCGCGAGCAATACGCGGGGATGAGTCGTACAATTATTTCTTGGAATCATGATACCGGTTTTGCCCTAAGCTTCCTTTGAGGCGTGCTGCGTGTAAGCTAGCCGCACCCAGGGCTAATCAATCAGTTAGCTCGCCGAGCGGGCTCTGCAAGCCCTTCGCTCGCTCAACATCGCGAAACAGGAAGCCGCCGTTTAGCTTGAGTGCTTGAAATCAAGGATCATACTGCTTTTCTTGTTTTCTTTGCTTTTCAGCCATGCTGGAGACACGTCAGTAACAATTTGGTGAAATTACGCATTGTGCTACTGAATTACGTCTCTCCCACATGTGTGCAAGTTCGCTATCGAATGGCAGTGATTTGAATCATGTGACTACGACGGAAACTTTTGTTTGCACACTTTCGTGTGTATGTATGCTTGGGCATCTTAAATTAGATGTGACTGGGCCTTTTTTGGTCTTTTGTTTTTAATACGTTTCTGGATCTGGTTTTCATATTTGGGTCTGATCTGTCCAAGCCTAGAGATAAAGACGAATATTGGCAGCTCCCGCGCAATAAAAGTAAGCTAGTTAAAATGGTGTCCTTTCGACACAAAACCTTACACTGTCTTACGCATTTAAGATCTGACACAAACCCCTTTACCCTTTTTAAATCCCTGTCTAAATAAACCGCTTTACCTTAGGTACAAGGCTTGCATGAATGGAGGCTGAAAGGGGGGGGGGGGGGCGCACTGCAGATCCCAGGGAATGTGCAGGCACCAAGCGCACCCGCGTAACCACGGGCCTGTTTACACGTCAGAAGGCAGTGTTAAATCAACACAGGGCTACATTGACGTCATGCCGTCAGCTGGTGCTCACAGGTGTTCTTCGCATTTACCGGTACCCAAACACCAAGCCTTGTTTGTTTATGGTTCCTGTTGGGACGGTAGGTGCGCAATGGAGTTCATCTCGTGAGTCTCAGTGCCTCGCCTCCCGCCATGGTCTTTGTGTTACGCGGCAGCCATATAGGTAGCTCCAGAAATTTGCCGATACGTGCTTTTTGCCATGTTTTGCTATGCCGGGGTTGGGTGATGGATTGTGTTAAACGCTGCTCCATGCAGGCAATTTTGGCGGAGCGGAGACATTCTCAACGCAGTCCACTGATGCAGCGATCACTAGCACATTGCGTCGTTCGATGCATATTCATTTAATTTCTTAACTGCCGTCAGTTGTGGTTCCCCATATATGCTGTGACAAGAAGATTGGGGGAGTCAGGCGTTTAAGCTGTGAGCTCTTTGCAAATCAAGCAAGCACTGCAAAGCAAGCATCAAGCAAATCAAGCATTCACAAGAAGGATGGTCAAAAACTATTACCTGCCCTCAACTTTAGGAACATTCCATTGACCCAGCATGCTTGTTGTGTGCTGTATCTAAAGTGTTATCAGTTAAGTAGCCCTGATAGTCCAGTTGATAAATTAGTTGAGCTGCCTAAAAGGGCTAGCTGATGGGATATGGCAGGGCTTAAGGAGATCTTGTTTGCAAGTTGTTAAGCGCATTCACAAGGAACATCATTCACATGAGTAAGACAGCAGTAATAGTCTTATTCCTCAGAGAAAAACCAGGAGAATAGAGAATTATATTGGTGATTAGTTGGAACCAATCTATTTCTCCATTCTCTGGGTATTTCTCTGAGGAATAAGATTATTAGCTCTGTCTTATCTATGAGATCCTGTTTGTGTGGGGTTGTTAGGGCAAGAAGTCATCTTTGGGCAGGTTTTGGGTATTTTGGAGCAGAATTTCTTCAATTGGAGAAGATTGTGTTGTTTTGAGAGTGCTGGTGGTACCTTATGACAGATATTGAACAGAAGCAAGGATTGGATTAAACCACAAGATACATAATAGTGTGCAAAAAGTGAAGGAATGATGATTGAGAAGGAATAGGGCAGTTAACATTGCTGCAGCATAACTGTACTGCATAGCCATAGAAGCATCACAGCCTTCTTATCACTGTCACGTTGGTTTGTCTGGGACCTTGTAGCAGAGATGTAGTACTGAAAAATGAGTTGGTGGAGGCAGGGGGCTGAAGAGTAAAAATGAAGAAACCTCCAAAATGTCCTTACAATGGGTCTTTCCCTTGGTTTGGCCCACTTTCTTTTCAAAGTTTTTTTTTTGGGGGGGGGGGTGAATTCTCCCAACTGAATATGAAACCACACCTTTGCCCAGCAACCTTATATTCACCAATTATATTAAAGTGCTTAGATAAAAACAAACATGGTGCATTGAAGGGCAACAGACTTTTCCTTTTTTTGTCACTTTCTGATGCTTGAGCTTAACAGTCAAATCAGCTGCAAATAACTGATCAGTATATCAGCTCTCCTGCAGCAGTGAAGTTTTACAGTGAGCATTGTGAAAAGTTTGGTGCTTTTTCTTACATCTGTGATTTGTCGTTGTGTAGTAAAGGTGTAATCTAAAATATTGGATGGCTAATTTGGTGTGATTTTTTTCCTTCTGAAAGATAGAACAGTAGGGGTAATTAGATATTGATAATAAAGATAAGATCATCATGAAAATCTTGGTGGCTCTTCCCCTGGCCCTCAGATAAACAGTCCTATCCCCAAGCAGAGAACCTGGCTGCCATATTTGGGGCACTGTTGAACCTGCTCTCAGTATGTTGAATGGGCTGCTGCCTTTTGTAGAATAGAAATTAGGTTGGCATGTGTTTAGCAGGTTTCATTGCTACCCTTTTGCTTGTAATGTTTGTCAGTACAGGTAATCAGCAAGCAATATGTAGGAGTGAAATTGTCCTGGCTTCATTCTTTTCTCCATCTTGGTGCTCTCCACAGGCCTATTCAAAACACTAAAATGAGCAGAAATGTGCCTCAGAGCCCAGACCAGGCTCTGACCAGCAGATATCACTGGACTCACATGATAACTTTAATTTATGCCACAGACTCAGCCAGTTCCTCCCTCTCCCCCTCTCTTTTGTCTGCATTTTTTCTTAGCATAGATGGCTCCTGACATAAACTTAAAGGTCAGTGAGGTACATTTTCACAGAGCTTCAACTCAATAAGTTTTTGGCTGTGCCCCATGTAACAGTTTGAGGCATTTTCACCCCTGAGTGAGAATTTTTTACACCCACAGCCCATCTGTAAAATAGTTGTAGTTACCAGCATTATAATATATATATATATATATATATATATATGTATATAAAATAGTAATAGTTACTAACATTATTTGCATCTTATGTGTGCCATTTGGTGGATTTATAGGAATTTGCATTATTTGTCACAAGTGATAGTTAGCCCCAGCCTCAGCCTTTACTTGATGCGCATTGGGTGGCAGGTGCAAAACCCTTGCTTATCCATGCACATTGGGGATGCTTTGATCTTATCTTTTGGGAAAGTTTGGAAACATCCCATTTATCATTCATCCATTTTATAATTCACTTACCATGCAAATTGAATAGCAAAATGTCAGTGGAGGCGAGTTGCTAGTGTGCATCTGTTAAAAAGATGCAGAAAATTTGTGCCTAGTTATGCCAATATACAGTTGAGATGAGAATGTCATATTGCATTCTACTGCACCTGCTGGTCATTTTTCTTCCTGAAGCTGAGTTGCAGTGGCTAGCCTCTCCCAAGACTGTTTTTATTTTATCATGCGGCATAGTATATCATGTTTTAGCCATTCACAATCTTGGAGAACCAAGTCTCTTAGACCTCAACCTTGGCCACCTGTTTTCATGACATGGCCTCATAGCAGGGCATCCATGCCACTCCCCTGCAGCTCCCAACCTTGGGAAGATAAACCATAGCAGAACATATCAGTGGCATAATGTCATTGAGATCTCGTGATTGGCGAAACACTTTATGTTGCTAGGTTCAAAATTGACCCCAGTATGCCATGTCCGAGGTGCTATTTTCAAAAAACCGCACTTTTCCGCTTTCCTATCTCGTACACAGGAGGCCATGCATTGTAGGGACACTACATTTAAACAGGTATATCCTTTGATCAATTCTGGGTGTAATGGTGCATAGCTTTACAAGCCCCTTTAGGATGTATGGCTCCATTAATGTGAGAATGTCGGCCTGCCGCACGCGTTCCGCGGCATCGTAGGTGCCGCGGAACACCGGCTGCGGTCCGCCGTCCGGGCCGGCCGTGGATCATAGTGCATTGCTCCTCAGAAACCGCCGCTGCTCCGAAACCAGAAACACTAAGGACACATTTATCTTGTCGGAACACGTGCAACGGATGTGGATGCTACTGAAAATTTGGCCGCGATGACACAGGATACCAGAGACGGATCCATAAATAACTTGCGGGCTCGCATCGCCTCCCCCTCCCTGTCAGACTGAGGGTTCTGCAACAGTGACCGCAGAATCAATATGTCCCAATATTAATGAACCCTCAATGATAAAGATTTCTGGTTCATATACCACTTACAGGGCTGAAACCAGTCTTGCCACAAGTTTGAAGATGCCCGCAGCTCTGTTGGTAGATACTGGCCATCTTAATGTTTGTGCAAGATGTACTGTGTGCCCACTTGCAAGATGTATGCGTGAATTTTTTAACCTGAGATGATTGTACTGGCATTTCCATACTCACTTATGTGCATGTTTTATGTTGTTTACAGGAGTAAGAATATTCTGCGTGCTTATCAGTTCCTGGAAATAGCTGCATAACCATGATATGTGAAGATCTACAATAATTAATATGAGGTCCATCGCATGTTGTTGACGCACAAGATAATTGCGTGCCCACATATCAAGATTGGAGTGCTTTGTCATCAGCTGTTTCCAACT